TGATCTAAACACCGGGGTCGTAGGTGTATCTCAGGCTACAATAGGTGAATCTCTGGCTACAATAGGTGTATCTCAGGCTACAATAGGTGCATCTCAGGCTACAATAGATGTATCTCTGGCTACAATAGGTGCATCTCAGGCTACAATAGGTGCATCCCGGGCTACAATAGGTGCATCTCGGGCTACAATAGGTGCATCCCGGGCTACAATAGGTGTATCTCAGGCTACAATAGATGTATCTCGGGCTACAATAGGTGTATCTCTGGCTACAATAGGTGCATCTCAGGCTACAATAGGTGCATCTCAGGCTACAATAGGTGCATCCCGGGCTACAATAGGTGCATTTCATGCTACAATAGATGCATCTCAGGCTACAATAGGTGCATCTCAGGCTACAATAGGTGTATCTCAGGCTACAATAGGTGCATTTCATGCTGCAATAGGTGTATCTCAGGCTAAAATAGGCGTATATCTGGCTACAATAGGTGCTTCTCACGCTATAATAGATGTATCCCGGGCTGCATTAGGTGCATATCAGGCTACAATAGGTGTATCTCAGGCTACAATAGGTGTATCTCAGGCTACAATAGGTGCATTTCAGGCTACAATAGGTGCATTTCATGCTGCAATAAGTGTATCTCAGGCTAAAATAGGTGTATATCAGACTACAATAGGTGCATCTCAAGCTACAATAGGTGCTTCTCGGGATATAATAGATGTATCTCAGACTACAATGGGTGTATCTCAGGCTACAATAGGTGCATCCTGGGCTATAATAGGTGCATTTCAGGCTACAATAGGTGTATCGCGGGCTAAATAGGTGCATCTCGGGCTACATTAGGTGCATCCCGGGCTACATTAGGTGCATCTCAGGCTACAATAGGTACATCTGAAGCTACAATAGGTGCATCCTGGGCTACAATATGTGCATTTCAGGCTACAATAGGTGCATCTCAGGCTAAAATAGGTGTATCTCTGGCTACAATAGGTGCATCTCGGGCTACAATATGTACATCCCAGGCTACAATAGGTGTATCTCAAGCTACAATATATGTATATCAGGCTACAATAGGTGCATCTCAGGCTACAATAGGTGTATCTCAGGCTACAATAGGTGTATCTCTGGCTACAATACGTGCATCTCAGGCTACTATAGGTGTATCTCAGGCTATAATAGGTGCATCTCAGGCTATAATAGGTGCATATCAGGCTTCATTAGGTGCATCTCGGGCTACAATAGGTACATCTCAGGCTACAATAGGTGCATCCCGGGCTACAATAGGTGCATTTCATGCTACAATAGGTGTATCTCAGGCTAAAATAGGTGTATATCTGGCTACAATAGGTGCATCTCGGGCTACAATAGGTGCTTCTCACGCTATAATAGATGTATCTCGGGCTGCAGCAGGTGCATCTCAGGCTACAATAGGTGCTTCTCGGGATATAATAGATGTATCTCAGACTACAATAGGTGTATCTCAGGCTACAATAGGTGCATCCTGTGATATAATAGGTGCATCTCAGGCTACATTAGGTGCATCTCGGGCTACAATAGGTGCATCCCGGGCTACAATATGTGCATTTCAGGCTACAATGGGTGCATCTCAGGCTAAAATAGGTGTATATCTGGCTACAATAGGTGTATCTCAGTCTACAATAGGTCCATCTCGGGCTACAATAGGTACATCTCAGGCTACAATAGGTGTATCTCAAGCTACAATATATGTATATCAGGCTACAATAGTTGCATCTCAGGCTACAATAGGTGTATCTCAGGGTACAATAGGTGTATCTCAGGCTAAAATAGGTGTATCTCTGGCTACAATAGGTGCATCTCGGGCTACACATAGGTACATCTCGGGCTACAATAGGTGCATCTCAGTCTACAGTAGGTGTATCTCTGGCTACAATAGGTGATTCTCAGGCTACAGTAGGTGTATCTCTGGCTACAATAGGTGCATCCGGGCTACAATAGGTGCATCTCAGTCTACAGTAGGTGTATCTCTGGCTACAATAGGTGCATCTCAGGCTACAATAGGTGCATACCGGGCTACAATAGGTGCATCTCAGTTTACAGTAGGTGTATCTCTGGCTACAATAGGTGCATCTCAGGCTACAATAGGTGCATCCCGGGCTACAATAGGTGCATCTCAGTCTACAATAGGTGCATCTCAGGCTACAATAGGTGCATCCCGGGCTACAATAGGTGCATCTCAGAAAAGCTGAATCTCAGCTTTTACAGTGTGTAATTGTATTTGTCATTTCCACCAATAGGGCATTGATTGTTGATGGAATATATCGTAAAATCATTATTCACTGGTTTTTAATTCCCGTTTTTCACTGATACATAAAATACACAAAAATAACAATATAACTCAATGTTATATTGAAATTATATGCTGGTGAAAATGGTTTGCAGTATAAACAACATTGTAAGTTTAGAGTATATAAAAAGAAACTATAAATGTTCACTAAAAAGTGATTTAATCTGAAAAATGGCAACAATACAGATAAAGATAAAGTTCACTCAGTAAAAAATGTAACAATCGTTTTAGACTATACTGAAACAATCAATTCAGAAACATCAAAAAGCTGGAAACGTAACAAAACTAGCAGTTTGAGGAACATCAGCAATTGTTACATATAACATGACATGCATAGAAAATCAAGAATCTTTGACAAATTATAATCCCAAATGACTGACATAATTATAAAGGTCATTAGTTGACCTTTGACAAATTATAATCCAAAATGGCTGACATCATTATATAGTTTGACTTTTAACAAATTATAATCCAAAATGGCTGACATAATTATAAAGGTCATTAGTTGACCTTTGACAAATTATAATCCAAAATGGCTGACATAATTATAAAGGTCATTAGTTGACCTTTGACAAATTATAATTCAAAATGGCTGATTAAATCGTAAGGATCATCTGTTGACCTTTGAAAAATTATTAGCAAAGTCATTATGTAAAATTCTTTAAAAAGTTCAAAAACTTGAATTTCAAACTGGTAAACATGAACAAAAACTGTCAATTTTAATAAATTGTTAACATATATTTGAGAAAATTCCTAAAACACTTTAGAAAATCTAAAAGTAGCTGCTATGAAAAGTATGAGCAAAAGCTAATCAGCACTCATCTAATAGTTGTTTTACTGAATCCAGCATGCAGTGTATAAAATAAAGGGCACACTTTTACAAATGCAAGTGTCCATCTTTATGTTGAGGGTGCACTTTCACTATCTAAGTGTTCAGTTTTGTTGTGTTGAGGGTGCACTTTCACTATCTAAGTGTTCAGTTTTGTTGTGTTGAGGGCGCACTTTCACTATCTGAGTGTCATTTTTGTTTCTGTTATCTGCTGCCTGAGACAAATACATCTACATATTTGCAAAATTCAGAAGGCAGATTTTAGAACTTTAGTGGAATTCAAGTTGTCATATTTCATTTGAAGTGGACAAAAAAAAAACATTTTTTTTTATTTCCCATGATGCACTGAAATGAGTAAATCAGACATCAGTGGAAGTTCAATTATAAAGCACTTAAAACAGAACTTTATAACAGGGGTTTAACTAAATATTACCTTGTCATATGTCAAGATATTTATTTTTAGTGTTTATAGTAATCTGTACCGTATTTGTTCTATTAGAAGTGCAATAAAGGCAAATGTAAACCAAAAATTGCATATATAGTAAACAGGATTATCAAGACAAAAATAATTAATATCCTGGTAATGTATGCACTTCAAATAGAGCAAAAACGGTGATTGAAAGCATTAATAACATTTGCTTGGAGACTGTGACAAACAATCTATTTTTGTGTTGGCCTTACCCACAATGCACTGTAATTGAACAGGAAGTAAGATAGAAAGATTATTTTTCATAAGTTACATTAATTATTATTTATAGCAGAGTTAAATAAACCACTGGAAACAAGCAATAACAATATTAAAGTTTAAAAATCCTGAAGAATCTACAATATAAATAGTACTGTGTTTTCTAAGTCCAACAACAGTCTAAACCTAAAAATTGATTTAAATATTGTTAAAATGTATTGTTTTTTTTTTAAAAATTGTTTAGAAAGTTTTAAAAGTTAAAAAGTTTTGGCTATTTACAATTATTGGCAGTTTTCAAAATTACTTCTATATAAAACTAACAAGATATATAAACATCTCTTTTTTTAAATATAAAAAACATCAAAATGTCTAACTCAAAAAATGACAGCAAAATATCAGACTGAATAAAGGAGTTTATAAATACAAAATTACGCTATATAGAAATTCCCACTGTAGTTGAGTTTTTTGTTGTATGTTTCTACTTATTTAAGGTTTAAAGAAAACATATAAAAAAGTATGTTGGATTAAAATGGCAATTTTGGAGGAACTCAAAAAAACTCTGAAACAAATGTTTACAATTTTACAAAATGCTCAAAACATAAACAATAATTACTCTGGCCTGAACTGTCCTAATTCCAATTTACATTTTGCTGATGAAATCAACTTTTAACATCTTTTCACAATAGACTTATGTATTCTCAAAGAATTTGGAGCAAGTACTCGTATAAAATTTGGTGTTTTTTTTTTAATAAGTGGTATCATAGAAATTACAGAAAATATATTAAAACATCTGTATATACTTACATTAGTAATGGCGTAAAATATCTTCAGTGGTCCACGGTGATAAAGAAATTATATTTATATTACAGAAGCCTTGTGACTAAACTACAATGACAGCAACAAATATTTAAAAAAAAAAATACTACTTTTGAGTTTTTGAGTGCTATTTTTAATAGTTATTTAGGACTACAATTACCAAATATTATCTACTTTTGAGTGTATGTATTACATGACTAAAAATGTTGTATGGGACCCACATCAAATATGGCACGACGAAAATGTTTAATAAATTAGTAATCTAATCTAATTTATGTACATTTGTTTAAGAAGTCCAAGTTACCGATACTGTACATTTTCTGTCTTAATATTAGTAGTTTTTGATCCTACTTAAGAGACCCTGGATACACACAACTGCATTGGCTTATTAAGTTACATACACGAGTTACAGCCAGAATAAGATCATCATAGTAGACCCAGGTATGATTGCATTTGTTAAATAGATTATATACAAATGAAATAATAATAACAAAATTAACTATTTAAGTTTCCTAATCAAAAATCATTTTTCTTTTTAGCTAATATAAATATAAACCGGTTCTTAATTTTTTTCTTATTTATCCATAAATATCTATTTATAGACAACATGCTGCCACATTACTGTTCTTCAGAAACTGCTAATCCAAGGGCCGCTGCATGCTCACGGGACTTTATTCGTAAAGCTGCGATTCCAGATGATGACATACTGAGCTCTGTATGACCACTTCCTATGAACCGAGAAAAAGTATATCAATTATGAAACATTCTGGAATATTTCTTGCATTATAATTGCATATATGTAATTTATAAAATTTTTGAGAAATATGTTTTCAAATGGGAAGTGATAAGCATTAGAACATGATGGCTTTCTGTTAGAAAACTAAGTGAATTCAGCAGTGGGTATCAAAAAACTAAAGTATTGTGAGGTTGACCATGTGGTGGCAGTATTCGATCAAAGCAAAAATACAACTGGACGTTCATCTATGTGTGATTCGTTTTATAATCATTATACAGTCAAACCTGTCTATAAAGGACAGTCAGTGGACTGACCCCAAACTGTCTTTTATAGACAGGTGGTCTTTATACGGAGGTGGCCTAATTTATTCATTCAATCATGAATATTAATTAGGGCGGGAATTTTTAAGGGAGATCATAAGCAAAG